AAGAGGGAGCCGAGCCTCCATGAGCCCATGTACTATTTCCTCTGCATGCTGGCCATCACCGACCTGGTCTTGTCTACATCCACCCTGCCTAAAATGCTGAGCATCTTCTGGTTCAATTCCAGAGAGATCGATTTCAGCGCCTGCCTCGCCCAACTGTACTTCGTTCACTGCTTTGCAGTGATGGAGTCTGGAATCTTCATGGCCATGGCGTTTGATCGCTACGTGGCCATCTGCCATCCCCTGAGACATTCCACCATCCTGAGAAACTCTGTAGTAGTCAAGATTGGCCTGGCTGTGATTCTGCGAGGCAGCATTATCGTACTGCCCTATCCTTTCCTGGTGAGGAGGTGGCAATACTGCAGAACCAACATAGTCCCCCACTCGCACTGTGAACACATCTACATGGTGAAGCTGGCCTGCGGTGACATCAGCATCAGTAGTTACTACGGCCTCTTTGTGGCTCTTCTCGTGACTGGTGTGGATGTGTTTTTTATTGCAGTGTCCTATACCCAGATCCTCAGGGCCATCTTCAAGCTCCCCACAAAGGCTGCCCGGCTCAAGACCTTTGGAACCTGCAGCTCCCATCTTTGTGTCATCTCAGCCTTTTACTTCCCATCTCTCTTCTCCTTCCTTACGCACCGCTTTGGCCACAATGTGCCCCTGCATTTCCACATTCTCATTGCCAATGTGTATCTCCTACTACCCCCTGTACTGAATCCCATCATTTATGGCTTAAGGACCAAACAGATCCGGGACAGGATCCTGCAGCTCTTTACTCATTAAGAATGTGTCTACACGGCACCCTAAACTCGAAGTAAGATATGCAATTTCTGCTACACAAATTGCATATCTTAGTTTGATTTTATTTTGAAATAGGGGATGTTGAAATTTGGTGCATCTACACATTGCCAAATTTCGAAAGAACGCACTATTCCAAGACATCTTTTTATCCTCGAGGAATAAGGCATAAAGAAATGCTAAAATAGCACACCCATTAATTCAAAAAAAAATAAAATAATGGGCAGTTATTTAAGATGTTGGGTAAATATTTTGGGATGCCTCCAGTATCCCGAATTAGCCATGCATTGTAGACCCACCCTAAGGGAAATAAAACTTTCTTTCTGGTGCTCAGACTTTGAGATCCAGTTCAAGGCAGAGTTGGATGGTGGCATGTTGCTGGGTCTTCTTCCCAGAATCACTGAGGGTATGTCTACACTACCCTCCTAGTTCGCACTAGGAGGGTAATGTAGGCATACCGCACTTGCAAATGAAGCCCAGGATTTGAATTTCCCTGGCTTCATTTGCATACGCAGGGAGCCGCCATTTTTAAAACCCCGCTTGTTCGAGCCCCGTGCAGCGCGGCTGCACGGGGCTTGAACTAGGTAGTTCGGACTAGGATTCCTATTCACGAGGTGTGCCAGTAGTTCGGACTAGGAATCCTAGTC